CTGTGACCAGGGTCCTAGTGGGGAGTCAGCTGTGGTCACTCAATTAGGGTGAACTGCAAAGAATGGGGCAGACAATCCCCAAAAAGCTGGTGGATATTCCAATACCTAGATTTACCAAGCCAGAATAAAACATCTTATTTATTACCTTACTGGTTACTCAGAAGTCCAAACAACACCACAGTTCCCTTAAAGTGATCCAGCCTCAGGCCTCCACCCAGGAACCTAAGTCAAATATGATGATTTCTGAAAATCTTATTTCATCATATAAAAGAAAAGGTTCTACCAATCCCAAAGGATTGGACACATTACCTCCCAGGTTACTAAATTCCAGATCTTACCCAAATACACGCTACAGCCAATTCTTATTAAAAAACAGAGAGAGAGTATGGTTAAAAGATCAATATACATACAGACATGAGTTCAATTCATTGAGATGCAGATTCATAGCAGAGATGGTGGGCTTCGTAGTTGCAAAGAGTTCTTTCAGAAATAGTTCACAGGTTACAGTCCAATGTCCAAATATCATAGTCAAGGCGTACCAGCATACCTGGGACCTCAGTCTTGCGACTGAAACTTCCCCAGATGAAGCTTAAGCAGATCCGAGATAACAGAATCAGAACCCAAGGATCTTTATAAAATGTCATGTCTTTTGCCAAGTAGGGAATTCAAAAGGTAATTAGCATGACTATGAAGGAGGTCCATCACCAGTACCTTAGCTACAGAATTAACATAAGGCAATTTGTTTGTTCCTCCACCATTCACAGATTATTTGCTAGACCAGGGATCGGCAACCTGCGGCTCACCAGGGTAAGCACCCTGGCGGGCCGGGCCGGTTTGTTTACCTGCCGCGTCTGCAGGTTCAGCTGATTGCGGCTCCCACTGGCTGCGGTTCGCCGCTCCAGACCAATGGGGGCTGCGAGAAGTGGTGCAGGCCGAAGGATGTGCTGTCCGCCCTTCCTGCAGCCCCTATTGGCCTGGAGCGGCAAACTGCAGCCAGTGGGAGCCGCAATCAGCCGAACCTGCAGACGTGTCAGGTAAACAAACCGGCCAGCCCGCCAGGGTGCTTACCCCGGCGAGCCGCGTGCCAAAGGTTGGCGATCCTTGTGCTATACATTTCAAAGAGAGATGAATACAGAGATATCCCATGTTTACGATTCATTTAAATGATAGGATGTTCTTTTGACCTCTGAATTATCAGAATACAGCATATACAGGGACTGTTGATTACATTGTCCACCCTACTCAGACATATGTAAATACACAAAAACACAAACATTATCTCTCCATATGTCTTTTGAGGGTTATTTATTTTGCAGGATGTTTAACCCTTTCTAGCCATGCCATCACAACTGTGTTAAATGTAAACTACTAAGAAAATAAAGGGAAAGTTAAAAAAAATTGACAAGGTAAGGAAACTGTTTCTGTGCTTGTTTCATTTAAATTAAGATGGTTAAAAGCATTAGTCAGTAACCCCTTATGAGCAGAGGTGTTTTTTTTTTTGGTCCTTAGCAGAGTGACTGACAAATGGGAATTTCCTCTGAAGCAAACAGATTTCATTATCTAATTATGGATTTATTTAAAAGAAATGATGGGAACAATTAATAAATTGAAGAGGTTCACCTGTACAAAACAGTTAATATATAGGGACACTGTTTTTTAATATTTCCTTCCTGCCACCAACACACACACACACACACACACACACAGGTGTTCTACATTAGTTAAGTCATACCAAAGTTTTATTAACTGTCTATTTCACAGTAAGCTTTCTATTTCTTACCTCAGGTTCTCTGCATTTGTGAAAGAGTCTTACATCTGCTATTTATTTTATGCCAAAATGAAGGTTAGCGGATGAGAAGACTATTCTGAGTTTTGAGGTTTTGTTTACCAGTGTTCCTAGCATTAATTAAAACAAACTATTCAGATGGAAACGGTAATTTAATTATCACACAAGTAGGCATAATTTTTAAATCCAGTCTTTACCAGACTGTCACAAAAGTGTTAAGAAGGTTCAGTTCTCAAAGTACTGAAGACAACAAAAGACAGTGGTAGCAACTCTTGGTGGAACGTCCTCAGGTGTCATCCCATCACTCAAAGCACCCCCATGTCTACACAAATAATAATAATAATAATAGAGATATCCCATCTCCTAGAACTGGAAGGGACCTTGAAAGGTCATCGAGTCCAGCCCCCTGCCTTCACTAGCAGGACCAAGTACTGATTTTGCCCCAGATCCCCAAGTGGCCCCCTCAAGGATTGAACTCACAACCCTGGGTTTAGCAGGCGAATGCTCAAACCACTGAGCTATCCCTCCCCCCAATATAATGCTGTTGAAGAGGAAAGGCAGTGAGATGCATTCTCCCCTCTCAAGAACTGAGCATACTGCTATTTCATTGCTCCCTTCTGTTGTTCTGGGAGCTCGAGCATATGAACTTTGATCTCCCAATGTGTCTGCATGATGCAATAACTAACTTGCCAGCACAGCTTTAGGGTCCTGTACTTCCATCTCCTGTTTGGTCAGGAGGGGCAAACAAAACTATAAAAAGGGACAGAAGCCCACAAGCCTGCAGAAGCAGGAAGAAGGGTCATTAGGATATGCTCCCTGGATGCTTGAGCCCATGGAAAACCCACTGTTCTCTTTAAAGACAGGCTAGTAACTGAGTAGAGAGCTCCTGAGCCCTTCCAGTAGGCATTGCTTTTCTATACAATTCTGCAGTCAGCTCCAGACGTGTTCAATCCCATTAGTATACAGCGAGAATGTACAGAGAGCCCTGAAGAACCCTTGCTATCCCATCATTGCTATCCCAACAAGTCAATTTTAGTGTTTCAGTAACACAACAGGCAATATATATTAGGACATATAATCAAGATTTTTTTTTAAAGGGGACAAAAATTAGAAAAAAAATACTGTCTACAACGTGTGAGGAATTTAGATCTGCAAAGTATATCATAATTACCAACAATTGGTTACATCAGACCACAAAGGTGCATAGTACTTCACAAACCCAGAGTAATATATTTCAGTTCATACATAATTTGTGAAAATATTCCCAATCTTGATGGCTGGATTGTGCCTTTAAACGATAGTCCTGCATTGGCGGGAGGTGGAGAGGCTGTGTTACAATGGAGCAACAGCATCACTATCCTTTCAAAGAAGTGCAGCATCTACTCCTTTCTAGCCCAGCCAGCTGTCTCCTCACTCTGCACCTCTGTGTCTCACTAAGAAAGCTAGTTCCACTGATGGCATTGGAAAGAGCAGTGGCTCCACTATTCAGTCACAGTTCTACCCTGTCCCCTATCTGGTGCACCTATGCAGGTCCAGCTGTAATCTGGCTCCAATGATACATATTTATCAAGACTTCAAAATAAATTATACATTAATCTCTTCGGCCTTAAGGAAAGAAAAAGTAAATAACTGGACAAAGTAAATTAGAAAGAAATTGAAGACATCCATATTTTATTAACCAGCTGTAGCACAGCTGCCTTTTTAAATGTAGATTTTTTTCCTATACTTTGTTTCTAGTTCTTGCCATATGCTATAATTAATATCAACTGCACTTACAAGGAAAAGAATGAGGTGTATTATGCAATAGCTTGCAACAAAAAAGTTTACATATTGCTGTACAAGAGAAATTTAAGTCATATAGAAACAAATACGTCATCAAATATAGACTGGGACTTTTTTGTTGTTGTGGCTGAAGAACTCATGAACTTGAGTAAGCTCACCAGAATTAAAGAATTCAAGTTATCCAACCAAATTCTCCTCTCTCCCCCCTACAACTAAAATAAAATAATGTAAGAAACCTCAATTTAAGCTTCAGCTTTGCTATGGATATCTGAGCATGGTCCCCTGGGGGCTGTCTTTCCCTTTCTAGTAGCCAGGAAATGAAAGATGTAAGTACAGGCAGCTCCTCATTCTGCTTGGGAAGGGGAAATCACACAGTGGACTCTGAATGCTTGATATGAAGCAGATTTAAATATATATTCTGCAATCTCTAAAATTAAGAAGATTTGTCTTAATTTGCACTTCTTTATTTTGTTGCCAGATAGTATCCAGGAAATTCAGAAAGAGACAACCTTCCTCCATGAGAAATCACGTACTTACAATCCATCTTGCTTCTTTAGGCCAATATTCTCAAACCTTGTCAAGCACCCAAGACCAGCCTCCCATCTTCTTGCAATACTTACCCCAACTTCAGAACTTTTTTTCACCTACTCTCCTAAACTGAAATCTGAGCAGTAGTTTGCATTGCATGCCCCCATTAGGGTGACCAGATGTCCTAATTTTACAGGGAAAATCCCGATATTTGGGGCTTTGTCTTATATAGGTGCCTATTACCCCTCACCCACGGTCACGATTTTTCACCCTTGCTATCTGGTCACCTTAACCCCCATATAAGTCATGTGGGTTGCAGTCTGACTTACCCACATACTCCATCTGAATTATACGGCAAGCTGTTATGTCTCCTGTCTCATTTCCATTCCCTCACGTGGGTCTAATCTCCCTTTTGAGTAAAATTTATTTTTTAAAAAGCTAATATAGTCCATAAATAATCTGAATCATTTTTTTCAAAAGGTAGTTACTAAATGGCCATTAATTGCACAAATGCCTGATGTGCACATGTGCATGCATTTATGCAAGTTTACCTTATTAAAAATGTGACCCTTGGAGTTAATGCTTTTGCCTGTCTTTTCAAAAGACTGGTTTGGTTTGTATGCTTTGTGAGAGTAAAAGTCTCCCTTTGCTTCCATCCCACCCTGCTGCCTCCAAGTTTTCTTCTATGGAAAACTGCCCTTACTCCAACAATGAAAAAACATCTTATATGGAATTAGATCACTCCTCATTGCCATTTTTTTCTTTTCCTTACTTTGTTCTACTTTGCATGTTAAACTCTAAGGTGTGCAGAGAATTATTACAATTTACATTTTTAAAATTCTTGTTTATTTTTGAAAAAACTATTTTATGAACAGACAAGTGCACAAATGTTTAATGTACTTACCAATCTTTGATTTAATCGCTTATTTTCCTCTTCTTTAAGTTGTAATGTCTGTAGGAGACAGTAATCTAAAATGAATAACCAGTTTAATATTTATGTTCATTATATAGCATAAAACTGTAATAAATACCAAATAGTTTTGAACTGATGAACACTGCACTGTCCATGCACAAACTACTTTTTGTTGTAGGTTTCAGAATTTTAGGAAAACGTTTATAATCTCCTCACAAGCAAAAAGGTACAGACATTTAAAAGTTAAAAAAAAAACTGGCAACCACCATGGTGCCGCTGAACCTGCTGTCAAGCCACTGGGGGAAGTGTCATCTCCCTGCTCTTACTACAGCTTAACCATGAAACAGAGATAATCTGATTGATTATAGGTTTCAGAGTAGCAGCCATGTTAGTCTGTATCCGCAAAAAGAACAGGAGTACTTGTGGCACCTTAGAGACTAACAAATTTATTAGAGCATAAGCTTTCGTGGCATCCGAAGAAGTGGGCTGTAGTCCACGAAAGCTTATGCTCTAATAAATTTGTTAGTCTCTAAGGTGCCACAAGTACTCCTGTTCTTTTTGCTGATTGATTATACTGAACTAGGAGCTGGTGTGAAGCTCAAAATAGAATTTTAAGTGAAGTAAAAACTAAGCCTAACTCTGAAGAAGAGAAAGGAAGGTGGGAATGGGACTGGAGACAAAAAAGGAAATGGGAAGTGGGTTGTTAAAGCTTTCAGACTTGTACTTCAAAGAAAAAAAGTCTAATCAATTAAAAACAGCAGATATTTTCAATGATATTCCCAGTCATTGCACCAGTGGGAGTAGTTACACAGCTGTGACTTCACCGACACGGTCCAATCAGTCAGAAACTCTGTCCAAAGCAGTACTTGAATACAAAATACAACACACAGAAGAATGCTTTACAAAGGGGAAATAATCTAATTTCCTGATTTGTGAACAGAAATTCTAGACTAAAACACTGCATTTAAAAAACCCACACAAAATAATTGGGCTGCATTATAAGAAAAACTGTTCTAGTGTCAGTTTTTTTGTTTTTGTTTTTTTTAAAAGAACTGTCCATCCAGGGTTATAGTACATTAGACTTTTAATTAAGAGGATATAAATTAACACAGTGCCAGAGAAGTGGATGAAATCCTTTTGCTTTGTTTCTTCTGAAATTAGTTTCAAGCATTTCTCATACTTTGTGTATCAGTGTTTTACTTGCCTTGTTTTGAAAAGAGTAAACACATCTTGGATTACTATGTGAAAAGAAAAATTGGTCTGCAATCACTTGCATGGAATTTATTTAATCTCTGATCACTTGGTGGAATTATTTCCTTTAATATTACTGTAAATATCTATTATTCTCTAGGAAACCCAGATGTTTGCACTGGTTAATTCCTTGATTAATTTTCTGCTATAAGAAGATCAAACAATACAGTGAACAAATCAAGAATGTGTTACAGCTACTTAAAATGGAAATACTAGCCCCGATTCTCATTCATACAAAGTCTGCTTTACACATCGTGAAGTGTAAGTGGTCCTTAAAGATGGAGTAAATTATATACAGACTCACTCTCAGATCCTGTACACTAAGAGAACGGTGTGAATTATTCTTAATGTAAATGAAAATCAATCCCATTATTCCTTGGAAAAGGCACTTTCCTTTGCAAATACTCATGTGCACCAGAATTTAATAATCATTTACTGCATCAGAACTTTACGCGTGTACTAGTCATTTTCAAAGCACTTTACACACCATTAAGTTGCTGAGTGAATATAATAGAAGAGAATCTACTCACTCTTTCTAACAACATTATCCTCTGTTTTTCTTCAGACAACATATGGATGTTTTCACTAAGGAAAAAAGAAAAACATTTGAGAGATTAAGAAACTATGAAATAATGCAATTTTCTCTTTTCCAAAATGTTTATCTACTGAAAGTTACTGTTTTATGGCTGTATCTCCTGTTGTGTTTGTGCTATTTAAAAACATATAGAATAATAATAATATAACATTTGAGGTTATTGTTTGAAATACTCGAATATATTTGAATGCAAAATTGTCCATTTTAATGGCAAATAGCATATACTGCTGTCCTTCTTATGATGCAAGAATCAATATGGCTACCGTTCTGTTTTTTCTTGGTATATGCACCAGCATTACCATTTCTTAGTTTTCCTTTATTATGGTGTGTTCAAGTTAAATGGAAAATTTAGTACCCAGGAATTTCCTTTCTGGGTTTAACATCTGTCAATCACTAATGTGTAGTGTTGTGTCTTGGTCTATGTGGATCTCAAAGGCTTCTAAGGGATTCTAGAGAAGTCAGCACAAATCAAAGTTCCTCATTTCTATATGCTAGAACTCTTCCAGAGCTGTAGAAATACTTAAGACAAATTAGTAAGAAATAAAACCAATTATAATTAAAACTTTAATGTTTTCACCCATAAGGAAAGAGGATTGCTAAATAAAATCACTTCCTGGCTCCCAATATGAAGACAATATGGGCAGGTCAGATTGCATGAAATGTTAACTTTCTTTATGGAATTATCAGACACAAAATTTTAAGATTCTGAATTGTAACATAACCCAAGGTGGGGAAAGTAATGAGCAATAAAACATAGCGCAAGAGGAGGGAAAAGAGTTAATACAGATTAGAAGTACCTTGAGCTATAAATTCATTGGGAACTGGTTCTGGCAGCATCTTCCTACCAAAAGGTACCAAACAGTCCATTTTGAAGTCTTTGATAAAGATCTTAATAAAGATCTGCAAAGACATTTTTTCCCCCAAGATGATATCATAGAAGATGAGGAATGAGCTCTAAATCCCTCAGCAACTAGCATGATATCGACTCTATAATTTTTTTCTCCACCTGTCCAGAGTAGCTTTAGATACTCAGAGGGCTGGGCGCATCTGGCAAAAAGAGATGACTACAGATGTTGACTTTAAGATTGAATGCGTGTTCTTGGAATATACTTCGGAATGCTGCAAGTGCATCTAAATTTATGTTAAAGCCTGTATTCTGTGGAATGTTGAGTGTTTGAGTAGGTGGAGGAAAAGAATTTCCTGAGAAATATGGAAAGTAGAATCCAACTGTGTTAGGAATTATTCTGGCATCCTGATCATCATTTTTTCATCAAGCAAACACAACAGCATCCCAGAATTCAGAGAATCACCAGTTTGAGACTAACACCGTAACAGAGATGATAGAGACTAATTAACAGGTCCTTATAGTCAGAGATTATGCTTCAAAGGGTGCTGTTGTGACAGCGTGTAAAACAAGAGGCTAATCCCATTTTTGGAAAACCAATCTTGCTGTTGTTTTGAAAAGTCTTACTACTCTGGGCTATAAGATGATGTGGGTGTGCTTTCCATTCAGAGAGGCTTGTACAAGCACAGTACTCGAGGATTCTGTAGTTGAACTGGGGAACCTGTCAATACATTCTACATCCCTGTCCATCATTCTAATGGAGGATTACTTGAGGGAAGAAACTTGACATCATGCCATGCCTGGTGAGTGGTTCCAAGATGCTCAATAAAATATCTGTAGCTCTCTTATATAGAGCTTCACCGAGGGTGGGATGTCTTGTGGATACTGACTAATTTTGTGTTGATGGAGTCTTTTGGAAGCAAGCCCCGCTTGATTGGGATCACCATCTCTCTTGCAAAGGCAGCTACCATCACTCCAACCTTGGATAAAAGTGTTCGGCTCTCTAACTTTGTAAGATGTTATGGTCCATTTGCTAAGGGTTTCCCATTGTTAGGAGGGTTATTCCACTCCTCTTGAATAACATCCTTGAATGAAGGGCCCTGTCTCATTTACATTTTGAAAGGAATTATTTAAGCAGTAGGGTGCTTTTGTTGTTTCCTTCTTTTTCAACCCTGTCAGTTGTGACTATCACATTGTAAAATACTGTCTCAAATAAAGAACAACAGAATGTTTCCTAATTTCCTTTGATGATCATTCATGGCTAGATTGGAATCAGGGAAAGAGGATCAATGTTGACTTGGATATTCTATTTTCCTTTTCAGCCTGTTGGTCTCAGATTCTTGACTGAATTATTTGCACAGCAAAAAGAGAACCTCTTGTGTCTTCTGCTGTCCTGAGAAATGTGCTTGGGCCATGGGGATTCTCTCTCTCCAATTTAACATTTGAGACATGAAGCCCTATAGGAATTGTTTCTACTCACCCCAAAAAAACAAAATAACCCTCATGAGATTAATTTGGAGGGGCTAGAAGCCACTAAGGGACTGGTGGGGGTGAGGAGGGAGAAAAAAAAATGAGACCCAGGATATTCTGAGAGATCCTCATTTCTGTGGTGTGTATGTGTTTGAGCGATTTACTCTGTGAATGGGCCAGGGGAGATCTCTGCCTTGTAAATGTACGGCTCTGGGTGGTCTATGTTCTTTCTGTTCCTGAAAAAGGAGGCAGGGCTGGTCAGCCTGGAGGCTGAAGCTCGGAGTCCTGAGCCACGGCAAAAGCCCTGAGCCCCACTGCAAGCCAGGGCTGAAGCCCTGAGCCCTGGCACCCTGAGCCACCCCATTCCCCCCTTCTCACAGGGAAGAAGCCCCAAGCCCTCACAACCCCACGGAGCTCCTGAGGTGCCCCCCCCTATACCTGTGGGGCAGAAGCCCTCCCCATGGCTGATGCCCGGAGGCTCCTCTCACTGGGCCATGAAGTTTTATAGTATGTTGGGGAGGGGGTCCTCTGAAAGAAAAAGGTTGAGAATGCCTGCTTATGAACACAGGGCAGTTTCAGAGTAAAAGTCACATTCTCTTTAGCAATGCACAGAACAAATGTAATCATGATGGAGTCAAACTGCAAATTTTATCCATTGCACATTGGACAAAATATAGATTAATTCATATATTGCATATGAGAGTACAATTTCAATATTTTCAAATAAATACTGGGAATTCCACTGGAAATGACTGAATTCTGCACACTACTTAACACGGTCACTAAACACAAAAGCAAGGATAAAGTACTTTGTTCATTTATCTTGCAAAAGAGAATTTGTTTTAAGAGAAAAATAAGGAAAAAAAACCACTATTAAAAGTATGCTAAAGTAAAACTCAAAATCACTCCCACGGTCGCCACAAATTTTCTTGGAGTTTAGATTCCAATTTCCTGTAAACCTGGTGGTAAAAAGGGTACTGAAAAGGAATAGGAGAGTCTAATGGCTTTATAGATTAGCTTGAGGAAAGCATTCCAACTATGAAGATGAAGAGTGTACAAAGATGCTTATGGGAGGAGTGAACGAGTAGGTGGCCAAGTCTGATATCACTGGTGGAGAGAGGAGGAATAGGCAACTTGATAAAATACAAGCAAAGATAAGCAGGTAAAGGTAGAGTTGTGAAGCGCCTTAATAGGCGAGAACAAGAATTAGAGATGATGGAAAAGGGAGAACCACAGAAAGCATTTGAAAAGTACAGGGTGATAGTTGGACGAATGGTTAAGAAAGATTATTTTAACAGAGGTGGGAGAGGGAGAAGAGAAGAAATATGGGTAGAAATACAATTACCTCCCTTTTCAACTTCATAGTAGTTTCCCTCCCTGCATGCCCTCCCCCCAAACTTTGAATTAAATTTTAAAGAAAAACAAAACTACTGACTGCTTAAAATGAGTGCTTTTTTTGAGAAATACTAGTACATTTCCCATCAAATTTGGACCCAACTTTTGGACACTATACTTCATTTCTTATCTAACATGGGAATATGCTCTCCTATAACAGTTTATCAACTGTAGCCACCGTCAGTGAAAGATAACTAAGGCAATCATATGTTGACAGTGTCAAAGATCTACATAATAAAAACTGTGGTGTCGAATTACTACTCTCCCATTTTAATGCTAAATTGTAATGTTTAGATAATTCAAGGAAAACTAGTTGTTAGTGACAACATATTTTTTTCCCCACCAGTAAAAGCAACTTATTTTAATTACTAACAAAAACAAACTAGTCCTTTTTCCAGTGTTGCATATAAAAATAGATTACTTTGATTTTAATGAAGTATATAGGAAACTGATAAACCATATAGAAAGTGTTCAGGAACGAATATTAGAAATAATTGTAAAATTCAAAACAAACAGTATGTCTTGTCAAAATGAGGAAGATGCAGGAAATCCAGATTCCAGGCTGAAACGGTAACCCTAATTCACTCTGTGCTGAAAGAATCACCCTACTGATGCTAGGGCTCAGAGGGAACCACTACAACTGCAATTTTTAATAAAGAAAATAAAAATTAAAAAAGAATAATTAGTCATGGAAATGAATGAGAGCTGAGAATTTTAGTCATTTACTGAAATAGACTAATGCCTCTATATTTAGCATTTCTTCAGTTAACTGTGAAATAAGCTGCACTTAAGAGATTTTTCTTTCAAAGCAAATTTTAACAAGAGAGACCATAGCAACTCAGAACAATGTAAAACAATAAATTTTAAAGATTGCAGATACTATTTCAGAAAGGTTGTGGTCTCCAGTTTATGTGGTTTCTGCATAACAAACATTTGCTGTAAATGGTTAAGAACTATCAAATTTTGAGTCTCTTTTGTAAGACTACTATAAATAGAAAAATGACAGGATTGAAAGGATTAAAAGGGAAAACTGCTACAATTCCAGGTTCCTGAATTTTTTTCCAATAATGGGGATAAATCTTAACAAGGAGTGACTTGAACAGGCTCCTTTACGCATTTGTTATTGCCTGGCTTCATCATCTCTCCTAAATACCCAACATGCATGACCATCTCACCTACCACTGGTGATTCAATAACTTTCCTATGACAACTACAACAACTGTTTACATGGAAAAGTAATATGAGCAACATATTTGTGTTTTACATTCTTTTAATGTTACTTAGCAGTTGCAAACAAGGAGCCAGCACCATATACTGAGCCAGTCCTCCATAGACCACCAGAATGCATCCGCTGGGGTTTTTGTCTGGAATGGCAGGAAAAAGGGGTAATGGCTCCTTTCATGGTCTTGTCCCCCACTCAGGGCTAAGAGATGGGGGAGAAACACCTAAACTAGTGGGGCTCATGTAAGACATTGGCCCCTGTGCATCTGGAGAAGGGTAGATGAGCCCTGTTTCTCTGGCCGGAGCCCCGTCTTGCATCCAGTTTAGTAGATCCCACTCCTGGGATTAAGGTAGGACCATGTTTTTTTGGTTTGCTATTCGCATTGCTTTATTTGGGATAAGGAAGGAATGTTTCCTTCACTGCCAGAGTGACTGGTACAGGACATGTTTTTTCCCTTCCTCAGAGCAGTTCAGGGATCCAACAGGCTAAGTCAGAATGTAAGAATCAAGATATCGCAACTTAACAGGTGGCAGGTGTCCAGTGCAGTTACTTGCCCCATAAGGGGTCCAGTTCCCTGATAAACCAGAATTATAAGTGGACTTAAGACTATGTTTACACTGGACTAGGTCTATACTGGAGCTGGAGGTGTAATTTCCAGCTAGGGGAGACATACCTGCACTATCTTGAAAAAACGAATTAAAACCATGGTACCAAGTGTGGAGGAGTGGGGGGATGACAGCAGCCTCCAACCAGGTGGAAATAATTAAGGAAGGAGCGATGACCTGCCCATAAGAGTTATTGCCAAATAGTTCCCAGATGAATTGAAGATAGTAAGAGTTGCAGCCTAATTCAATCGCATCCCTTGCCACTTGTCTGTCTACTTCATCAGTGTGTGGGACAAAGTGTATATTACTGCTTTTCTACTGCTCAGCTTTAAAACGTTCATCTACTCACTGAAGCCTATTTCATCCTCACTTTACCATTTTTTAGCCTCTAACTCAGTAGTTCTCAACCTATTTACCATTGTGGGCCGTATATGCAGCTTTCTATGTGTTACGTGGGCCGCATCCACACAATATATATACTACTACTAAGATTAGTATTTGTTATATGACAGCAATACAATTCGAATCGATATAGTACCTTTCATTTCAACACTGGCAAATATATACCAAGAGAATTTTAAATTAGTAAAATAAGTAAAAAAATTCATCATTTACTGTAAGAGTGGCATGGCATGGTGTACTGCCACCCTCACTCCCACGCTGCTGCTGGTTGTGTGGCTGGGCCTCATCCTGCTCGGGGTGGGGGCTTGGGGACACGGCTGATATCGCTGGGCCTGATCCTGCTGGGGAGCTAATGCTGAGTCCGATCCTGTGCGCCCCATTTTTACTCTACCCTCCCGCCCCCAAACTGGTTCTGTGCCTGGGGCAAGTGCTCCTCCCACCCCACCCTAGTTACAGCCCTGAGGATGTCACATGGGCCGCAGCAGTGTGCTGACTGGGCCATGGGTTGAGAATCACTGCTCTAACTTCTTTCTCTGCTAAGTCACTAAAAAACACATTTCTGATAGCTGGTGATATTTTAACATTTTATACATGCATCTCAAAAAAGGCATTTTGAGCAAGAACATCAGATGAGTAAAAAGAAGTAATTGAACAGCTCATTGATACACTGAAATATTCAACTATACACTGGTGTAATGATCTAAATATAGTCTACATATTTTAATATAATGCCTCTTATATACTTACTGTACAGCCATCATGCTAGTTTCCATTGCTGAATCCAGCCTTCCTTCATCTGTAATCTCTGAAGCCACTCTTTCTGTTTCAGCTGGGAGATCAGGTGCACAGGCTTCACAAGATTCTGAAGCTGTAGGTAAATAAGCTGATGGAATAAAATTACTGCTTCTCATCTTATTCACTTCTTCTTCAAGTTTTTTCTTCTCTTCAAGTAATCGAGCACGATCTTCAGAAAGTGTTTCAATCAAATCTAGATGATAATAGAAACATGTAAAGATTTTTATTTTAAAAAAAGCAGCTCAGGATATTATAACAATTCTTTGGATTGAAACTGAATGTAGACTATTTCAAAATCTATCAGTGTTCACAGAATATTTACTTACCCTTATCCCTTTCCTGCTGTTGGGTTATTGTTTTTAATTTGTCACTAAGATCATTTATTATGTTTTCTTTCTTCATTTTTTCTCTTGTCAGCACGGTGTTAAAATTGGTCTGAAAAATCAGAAATAGCATAGGTAGAAGTAGTACAGTCTAAATGAAAGCAACACAAGTAAGACAGAAAACAAGGAAGAACCCACAGTATTGTCATTTGCAGTTTCCCAAACTAAACTGAAAGGCAAGGAAATCAGCTTAAATAAGTACATTTTTGATAAAAGGATACATATACTGGAAATGTTTCCCTGCTTGTTTTAATTGGAGTTCAATTATGAGGGCTTTTGGGTTAGGACTGGTTCTAATTTTGTTTTGTGAGATGTGGTGTACATTTGTAGTCCTAATGAAATAATCACAAGAAATATATTAGGTGTGAATAAGGCCCTTTGTATTCAAGAATACAATTAAATTAAAACACTGAATCTGTACATTTCTGGTTCTTGACAAATCCAGTAACACACTGTTCTCAGAACCAGTTATTCTTTAAGACTAGAGTGGATGCTGTAGGATCTTGTACTAAACCAAGTTATTTACAATTAGAGATAAGCAAAATGTGGTATTCATATGACCACATTAAAATATTAATACTTTGAATGAACTTGAAATAGATTTCAAGGCACTGCATGAAGTTTTGGAAGGCAGTATTTCCCAATGCCAAGCAGGTGTTCAGACTAATTAACACAAATTAGTAAGAGTCCTGACTAATTAGCACAAACTAACAACTTTTAACAAAACAACTGCTAGACAGTCTCATGCAATTATTTGCCCATGTCACCCTCCTCCATGAATCACTTCATTGGCTTTCCCTTTCTGCACTGTATCAAGTTCAAGCTTCTTGTCTTCACCTTACAGCTTTCCATTCAAATCCCCATCACCAACTAATAACCTAGTAGAGGGGCAACTGGAGGTAGTCATTACATAATAAAAAAAATTAAGAAATGAAACTAGACAGATGTGTGCCAGTCATCACCTTGACTTGTTTAGTAAGCTGTATCCCTTTCCCTCACAAGTCATCATCTATCTGCATACCTTAAAGGTGTAAGCTCTTTGGGGGGCAAGGAATTTGTCTTCCCTGTGTCTGTACAGTATATAGCACATTTTGGGTGCTACTATAGATATAATAAAGCAAACTTCATATAGTTCACTACAAACTAAACCAACAAGTAATTTTCTAAAGATACTGAACACAGATGAATAAAAACTGCCAAAAAGGTTCAGTGATTGCTATACCAATCAGATACATTGCTGCTACAATACATTTTAAACAGGAGGAAAGATGCTACATTTTGTGGGATTTGCAGCATGTGAAAACAAACTGCCCCGAAAAAAATGAAGAGTGGAGATTGTAACAGAATGCCATCAGGGAGATCTTTCCTCAAATGCTCTGCTGCTGATGGGAAAAATGGCATGCTATGTATTGACACACTAAGGTCAGAGAAATCTTATAAAAGTCAACTTATTGTACAGAATGTTATTAATTATCATCTGTTCTATGGCCATGAAATCTTAATTAAAATCCTCTAAAAAGGACACATGGATGGGCAGTGACATTCTGCACTCCATTCACAGCCTACAACACTGAAAATGAATGTAGATGTCAAACACTTCTATATCTGTTAGTGCTCAGATTATTTGCTGTGTAAGATCTGCTCTGGTTTCAGTATATTTGCACACCCACATTTTTAGAAAATGTTCATTTGTCCATGAAGATTCTACCCACTTCTCCTCTTTCTGCCCCTAGCAATTGATGGCTATAGTCCAAAAAGCTGGATGGCTCAAATGACTAGAAATAGTGCTGTGCCTCAGTCCTTGTCCCATACTGATGTTGCTGAAACCGGAAGAGGTGCTCAAGTGGAGTTCCCTTTTCAATCTATTAGTGAGAGGAAGCTGCAAGGCAGGGCATGCTCCACAAAGAGTCTTTGACTTTGTAACCCTCACTTTCACCCTTGGTCCACCAGAGCCCACATTTGTTGACTTTCTAACCATGCTGCAAAATCAATTGTTTTAAAATACTTTTGGGGATGGTAGGAGTTGGAGGATATTTTTATGAGACCAATCTTATTTTGGTGGTTTTGTATTTTAATTTATTGACTAGCATAGGATGGGTGCCTAGAGCGATGTTTATAAATCTACAGTGAAATACAAAGTTGGAGGTTCGAATTGATTCTAAAACTCAGTCTCTACCTGAACTGGCTGTTTGGGAACAGTCATGTGATAACGAACTGCTTGGTGTTGGAAAGAGAGAGTTTAATATTGCTCAGAGAGACTTTGCAGTTAAGTTCGATGGCTCATAAGAAGTTACGTTTAATGGAGTTTACCTTGGAGCTCAAATTTAGCCCTCTTGGCTGGAGAAGAGTTATGGTAACACGAGCTTATAGAAAAAACAATGACATAGTAACACTTCCCCTAAACTGGATTCCTTTCGCCCAAGTCCCAGAGAACGTGCTTATAAAAGTCCATTAAGTTCCTGAACCATGAAATGTAATATAATTTTATATAATATGTTGTCAGATGACAATCTGAATTTAGGAAGTACCAGATGGCAAACTAGAGATAGCAAAAATCAAAAATCTCTAAAATCCCAGAAAGAACATATCAAATTTGATGACTCCTTTACCTGCTGTTCTGCAGTCAGAGACATTCTAAAGTTTTGCATTTCTTCATTCTTTCTTTTCTCTTGCTCTTCAAGTTGCTCCAAAAATTTTATTTTCTCTTCCTCAAGTTTTTCTTGAAGCTCAATAACCAAGCTTGATGCAGCAGATAATTCAATGGAAGGACTTTAAAAGAAAATTTTTAGAATTTAAATATGTATTACAGAAATACATTTCAAGAACAGATAAACACAAGCAAAGAAAAACCTGATGAGTCCCTGCTCCTTCCTTACTCCAAAGATAGAGCAGTGGATATGCTTGTCCATTACAGTCATTGTTCGGCTACATGGACATGGCCTGAAGCCATGAAATATGAAGCAACAGCACTGAAACATGGACACCAAAGCTAAGTGTTTAAGTCTGTAAGCATGAAAGTGCTAAAAATAGGCATTATATTGCTGAAAAGTAACACTAAATTGCAAAGCAAGCTTTGAAGTATAGGAATTAGATGTCAAAACAAGCAGCAAAGCATTGAGAAATAAGTCTCAAGAGACTGAGGATAGTCACTGAAAGTCTTTAAAGTGCTGAAGTGAGCTCTTCTTTATTAATAACAGACTGGCTGGAAGACTGGGACATAAAAGAGACAGCTCCTGAGCATGTTTCATTGATGGTGCTCAAAAGGAACTGACTAAAAGGTTCCAAGGGCAGAAATTCAGCTTTGAGGACTGTGGGCAACTGCCAGTAAGCAGTCTGGTTTACATTCCGTATGATTACTGCTGTCCTTAGGGATGAAAAAACTTCAGAAGCTAGGGAAGTCCTGAGAAACTGAAATTCAGGAGTGAGAATCCTGGTGGACTGTATCTTTAGAGATACATGCCTTTCCCACTGCAATCATAGAATGTGCCTTTTTAAAAATCTAATTTCCATTATACAGTAACACCTTTCTTCAAAAGCCATTTGAAAGAATCAACAAAAACTGACTTCTCAATGAAGATAGTCTTCTAACATAAAAAGGAGTCGAAATTTAATCAAAATGGGGAGATTGAGGCAATCTCTTTAGACAGGTTTTCTAGTCAGGGTGATGGTCTCTTGCACAAGTTTCACAGAATATTTTTACATACTTTTTCAGTGTTTGTGCTGCTGTCAAAACTTGTTGCTTAACAATGCTGTTAGAAATGTACACAGACGTGTTAAAACATCTAAGTTAAACATTCCCTCAAACGGTACAAGCCAGGGATGCAATTCAAAATTTCCTGCCACTCCTAAATAAAGGGTTCATTTATTAAACTCTATTTTTAGATTTCAAGCCAATCACATAACTGTAGGAGCAAATAGTAATAGAATAGTAACAATTATGACTGGGATGAGGTAATAGTAATTTATGCCTGAACAGAAGAGCTCACACTATGGGGATAAGTTTTGCAGAATTTATTCTTTTTAAAGACTTCTTAAAACAAAGAACACTAATATAAATGTCTTTTGGCATTGTAACTTAACAGCTGGCACTTTTAAATGTATGGAAATTGGTATGAATACCATCCAGCTACTGTGAAAGGTTGATCTGTCAATCATGACTACTATAAAAGTGGTTGTTACAGCATGCTAGTGGAGCCTCTCTAGTCCCACTTTTAGCAATTATTCATGCAAAGCATGGGAGATGCGACTCATGGAGGAATTAACCTACATTAAATTATAAATGTTTTACAATTTGACTGATTTTTCTTAATCTTACTGATTTAGGTTACCAGGCAGACAGACTGTTTAACTCATTGTTTTTGTCACCTTGTTTTTGATCCACTGTATCACACTGAAAGTTATTTGGTTTTCCCTGTGTGACACAACTGAATATTCTTCCTCACTGTTATATAATTAGAGCCCTATTTGAATCACGGGATGATTGTCAAATAATTGTAGCTGAGTTGCGGACAAGACATGGAAAATTGCAGAAAAGTAATAACGGACCTTTATTAATTGCAGTAATTTGGAAAAGCCAGGGAAGACCTATTTGTTTAAGAAAAAATTGCTTGAACAATATAAGCACTCAAATATTATGCTTGCTAATTGTTTTTGATAACGAGACATTTTGCTGCAACTATATTCCAGTCATTAATGCTCAGGGCTGACAGCCCAAGCCTCAGCCACTGACAGCTCAGATAAATGGGGTTCTACTTTAATAATGGAAGAAAAGTGTGTGTTGTAAACCTCAAAATATATGCAAAATTGTGGACTGTGCAAAGTAAGCTAATTAAAATCAAAACTGCGATGGAAGCCTGATATTGCAGGATTTGCAATATCACAAATTAAGTAGGGCTTTATATATAAATTCTAAACTTGTCAATGTTCAGAGAATACAACCTAATTGTGACAGACACCGCTGGAGCCCTGCTGCTGTTACTCCGGAGCTGCGGCAGCGGGGCTTGGCCGGCTCGGAGCTCTGGCCGTTGTGGGGAGCCCCGGGCCCTTTAAATCACCGCTCGAGCCCTGCTGCTGCCACCCCGATATAATGGGGTTTCACCTATAACGCAGTAGGGATTTTTGGCTCCCGAGGACCGCGTTATATCAGGGTAGGATGTAATTCTGAAATACGGAAGTGCACTCAGATAGCAAATACATGCCCTATGATTAAAGGAGCATTTGGCATCCTCCTTAAGAAGGAGACAAGGATGCTTTCTTAATTTCATATGTACTTTAAAATGAGACAAAGAACAATAAATCATTCAATGGAGCTTACAACTCATTCCCCTAGTTGACGTATATACCAGAATAAATAGAACATCTGGTCAAAAAAGTAAGAATGGGCTTTGTCCAAATTATGTATGTATGTACGCATACACACAAGTGCTCCAAAATATTATTTAAATGTGAAAAGTGATCGTGCATAATCATAATCTGATTATGTAGTTTAGACCTTTTTCTTGTCACACCTATGTATCAATTTCCATCATCAATTTTCACTTCCACCATTTGGTAAATGGATGCAGCAATAGGAAAAGGAGGCAGGGGAGCATTTGGTATATTTCCCCTTATTTCTTTTTCGCAGCCAATTAGTTTTGGGGAGGGTTTTCTGTTATTTTTAAAAAGTCAGAAGGAACCAAAAAAATAGGGTACAAGTTCAATTTTTAAAAACTGTTTGGCAGATTGCTTTCAATATCCCTTAAAACATATATACATGTTTACCCTTTGTTCCCAGAAGCCGTTCACATTTCCTCATGAGTTTAAACAAATATAATACATACACCTCTACCCAGATATAACATGGTCCTCAAGAGTCAAAAATCTCACTGTGTTATAGGTGAGACCATCGAACTTGCTTTGCTCCCGCTCCCCCGTTCCTTGTTCCCTAACCGCCCCCTCCAGAGACCCCTGTCCCTAATCACCCCAAGGACCCCACCCCCTACCCAACCCCCCTGCTCCCTGTCCCCTGACTGCTCCAACCCCTATCCACACACCCCGCCCCCAACAGGCACTCACCCACCGGCAGCGGCAGGAAGCAGAGCAATGTGGCTCCAGCCTGCTCCACTTCGCCATCTCCCAGCTGTGGCGCTCCGCTTCCTCCTGCTACTGAGTTTGGGGAGGTTGGGGAAAGGACGCCCCCCGTACTCACCTGCAGAGGGAAGCGGAGCGCCGCGGCTGGGAGCTGGTGGAATAGAGCGGGCTGGGGCCGGGCTGCTCCGCTTCCCGCCGCCGGTGAGTGGGGAAAGGATGCCCTCCACACTCACCGGCGGCGGAAAGCGGAGCGATGTGGCCCCAGCCCGCTCCGCTTTCCTTGCCCCAGCCCCAGCCATGTCACTGGGGGGTCGGGTGGGAGGTGGGGAAAGGTCCCGCACTCATCTGTGACTGGAAGCAGAGTGCCGCGTCTGGGAGCTGGCGGAGTGGAGCGGGCTGCTCCACTTCCGCCGCTGCCGGTGAGCGTGGGGGGGATCCCTTTCCCCAACCCCCCCTCCCCGAGCGACATGGCTGTGGCCGGGGCGAGGGAAGCGAAGCGGGCTGCGCCTGGCCCCCCGTTAATCCCCTTGGGCCACTCTGGGGCTGCGGGGCCCCCAAAATTGCTCCCCCACAGCTCCTGCCTCCTAGACCCTGCAGAGGGGGGAGCCCCTGAGACCCTCTGCCCCTTATCCAACCCCTCAGCCTTGGCCCAGCACCCTTAACACGCTGCTCAGAGCAGCATGTCAGAGCTTTACTGCGTTGTATGCGAAACAGTGTTATATCAGGTCACGTTATATCGGGATAGAGGTGTATTTTGCTTAAATGTATTTGACAGTAAGAAAATTTTCTGTACACAAATTCAAAACAAAGTCATTTTTCCTATTCTTTTCAACCTATAAGTCTATATCTTCTCCACCACCAAAAGCATCCAGTTTCCTGATCCTATTTTCACAGTCCCATAGTTCCTGTATGATTTCATATGATTTACTTTTGAAAACCTGTGCTGTCTCCTTGATCTGCATGGTTTTCCCAGATTTCTCTCCTTAAGCCTTTATCAACTGTCTCCTGTCCAGCAACTTACCATAATTAGTCTTCTATTTCCTGAAAAAAAAATCTCAGACATTGCAGCATTGCTGGTTTTCTAGAAGCATGCCAATGTCTAACCTAAGCCATATTTTTCCAAAAAAACAAAACCAATCTGTTGTATGTAATTGATAAAACTAAAATAAGACCCCAGGCCTTAGTTTAATTTCAAGGTACAAGGGTATACATACTATTTCTTTCACCCACCCTGTTGTTACACAAGAATTACAATACAACATTTTATAGTCACAGACTGTCTTTGTCTTGCTTTTGTTATGTTTGGTGTTCTGGCTCTGGGCAGTTTTTCTGAATTGGCTCCAGCATTGCCAATCTTATCTTGTGTCCAAATTCTTCGATAGCCTTATCCGGCCTTCAACTTTCCCTTTTTTCTGCTCTAACTCAGAAGTAGTAAGTCCAGGCATGTGGAGAACTGCTACATGTTATGGCCATGCACAGCTTCCTAAAGTTTTTTATCCAATTACTGACTCTCCTCTCTTTATCTGGACCCTGTCTGAACATCTTTGGATTTGTTCATCCTATTCTGACCCTGTTTTCCTTCCTATGCTGACTTTGTGGTCCATGTAGCCGAGTGTCACACACATTATTCCTGAAATCTTTTGTTTTAATACACAATAAATAACAGTCTCAATTGTTTTAGTACTGTTTTTCCACGTACA